CGGGCCCTTGCGTCCTTCCGCCTGCTGCCTTGGCCGGGTTGCTTTTTTTTCTCCGCTCCCCCCCCCCCTGTACCCCCCCCAGCCTACCCATGACTCCGTGACCCCATTATTCTCCCCCCGTCTCTGTGCCCCTCCGTGCCACCCCTCCCTGTTATCACTTGGAGGCCTCCCGCCTCCTGCAATTTCTCACGCGCAGTCCGCCCCTATTCTTCCCCTCGTCTTGGCCCTCTCTTCCTCTTTCTCCTGTGCAGACTCTACCCTTCCAGTAGTTCTGGCCTCAGCCTCCGCTCACCCTTTCGCCCTGCTCTTGTCCACCGGGCGCTCATGCCCCCCCCTTAATCCTCCGGTCGTGACCGGCTTCCCGAGCCGTACTTACCCTGCCCTTGTCGCCCTTTCCACACTCCCTATGCCTCCGTACCTCTTGCTTCCCTGTGTGTTTCTCTTTTTTTCTCTCCACTTCTTTCGCCCCTCTGCGACGGCCCCCCTGTTCCTTTTTCCCCCCGGTGGTCCCCCACTATGCTTGCACATGTCCTATCTCCTTGTGATCCGGCTTTCCGCCTGTGCTCCCGTGCTTCATTACGTTGTGTTTTCCCTGCTCCTGTTCCCATCCACCCTTCGCGTTTGTGTTGCTCGTCTTTGCCTCCTTTGCCTCGCACGTTTCTTTTCTCCGGTTCTGCTTTCTCCAGGGGCCGCCGTCCCCGTCGCGTTTCCGCCCTGTCTTTCCCTTTGTGTTCCCCCCGTCGCCCCTGGCCTCTTGGCGCTCCACTTTGCGGGTCTGTTCCCTCCCCCGCTTCTTTTTCTGTTCCTCCCGGGGCTTTGGTCTACCTCCTTTCGTCCTTCCCCTTGCTTGCGGCTCTTCTGGCACATTGCCCGAGCATCTCGCCCTGTCGAGTCAGTCGGCCACCCTCTCTGCTGCTGTTCTACTCTGCCGGGTGGCTTCTCGGACACTTGGGTCTCTTTTTGCGCCCCTCCCTTCCCCATACCACACATTAAGAGACCCATCTTTCACCCAACCCCCCACCAGCCGATCTGTTTTCGCCTTCCACTTTTTCTGTTCCCCCTTCTCAGCAGTTCCATTCACCCCCCCACCTTCGTTCGCGTTCCTTCCTGCCCCCCTCTTATCCACACCCCCCTCCACCACACAACACCACCCCCCTTCCTCTACACCTCACCATGCCCTCCCCCCTCCCAAACCTCCGAAGGGTTCCTCGGGGGGTGGCCATCCCCAGACCACAACCACATCAACGGTACGAGAGAGCAATGCACAAAACGTCCAAGAATTTTGCTTGTTACCAAATTTTCTTGTGTCAAGTGCAGTAAAGATACATCAGTCGTTTGTTCATGCTAGGGCTAGGGCTAAAAATTATCGGTTTACAGACACGTCGTAAAGCTGCTGCGTTTCTACTGCAGGTGTTAGCAACTGCGACTGCAACATTCAAGACCTCATAAACGTTACCAATGGAATATATGAGGTCACGACCAGTGATTCAGGATGTTGGGCCTCCTACCAGTGTAACTCTGGGTATACTGGACAGGACATACATATCACAAGTGGAAAGGACATTGAGATAATGTGTACTAACGGAAGGTGGTCAGGGGAACCCCCTATGTGTGAAGGTATAATACACAATAAGCTAAAATGCAACTGGCACATTAAGTCTATCAGGATTTTCCTATTCAAACTTATTGTTTTCTTTATTTCTTCAGGACACAATAAGTGAACCTAAACTAAGTTAACCATGTTGGTGAACCGAGTTGTATATTCTTTCATTAGCCATAGATTTACTTATCCCATACACTGGCGACTACTTTGACATGATATTGAGACGACGGAGGAATGGCTACAACGTAAAACACACGATTGCACCTTTTAAAGGAGAACCAATGAGGCTATTTGTAAGTGAACACAGCAAAATAACACTCAAGTAATTGTTACCTCGTGGTGTTTTTTCTCTGTCCAGATTTACGATAATGGAGCAGTGTCATTTGGTAACAGGCTAGGAAGAGGCTCTTTTAGCATACGTGCAACAGGAAAATTGTCATTCGAAAATGTAGAAGTTCATTTCTTTGTAAACCCAAGCGACAGACAGTTGTCTATCAGGAGAGACCAGATTTTGAACCTCTTAAAAAGCAACGAGACAGAAGGTGTGGATAGATTTAACCCCAAGGACATGGTGGTCGTCACGTGGACCAATGTTCTACTGAATACCTGCAATAAGGTAACATACCACTTGAAACTTGATACATAAGCTGATAACCAATACTCCCAATTTGTGACCACAGCCCATCAGATTCCAGATTGCCCTGGTGTCAGGTGACTTATCAGGGAATGAGAAAACGTATGCACTGCTGATAGATAATCTAGGGGAAGGCTGTGATGACGGTGAGATTCAATATACCATCGATGATGGAAATGGTAAGACTCATTGGAAATCATTGTCAGCAATTCAGATTAACACATTTTCCTCCTTTATTAGACATAACAATTACATTGGAAGGAAATGCTTTCCATGTACATGAATTTCCATGACCACAACAGTGGTAAGAGTCACCAGTATGATGCATCATGAATGTTGTTACTGACGGATTATCCTTTATTATGCAGGTATAGAGTTGCATCCTGGTTTTAAACAAGAATTAGGGACTTTTATATACTAGCTTTGTAAAACATGTTCATTGTATGTAAACTCAAATATTGAAATGCATTTCTATACAATACGAGCAACAACCAGAGGCACTTGTTAATATGAAACACAGCACAATAAACCACGACAAAATACAATCACAACCCAAAATGTATTATGCCAACACGTGGGGTTCTGTTTGAAGCATCTCTATGTACAATAACACCTGATGCAATAATAGTGACAATGTGTGCATAATAATATGCAGATAAAGGTATTAATGGGCAGTTGGTGAAGTCAGTCATCTTCTAAGCCACTGAACTTGTTGGTGAGTTCGAGGCCAGGCACTCGATAGTTGGCGTCTGATGCACGAGATGTCTTTGGTCCCTGAGCTTCCTTGAAATCCTCTCCTTTCTCTGTGGAACTACAGGGGTTACACCATACTCTATCAATTCAAGAGAACAGGGATGCATTATGTATTAGTAAATGTACCCGTGCGAGTGCACTACCGGAAAAAAACAAAAAAGTGGAGGCAGTCAATTATGCACTCAGGTAAACCTCTGAGTGAGTATATACAGCCTGTCTTGTCCCCCCAAACAAGGTGCAAAACATGCTTCATGTAATGTTGATACACAGCCTAATTGTGTGCAAAGTAGTCTACAACAAGGTCGTAGCCAAGGCGCCACAAGGTCTGCATCTCCACTTACACCATCCAACTCATCCCATCATCTTGCTAGGCCTTTGTTAATCAATGCTGTTCTGTCTTTTATTAAGGCGTACAGGCTAAAGGTGATGTAGGGTCTTTGAAAAAAAAGGTGTGTGAGTATTTTAGCCCTGACGATGTTGAAAATGCGAAAAGGCTATTGAGGGATCATTGTAAACAACCCCTAGAGGCAGCTGGTCTTATACATCACTCTCGTCGTGGCTCTGACCGGCGTAGCCAGCTTGTTGCAAACCTGGATGATATATTACAGTCTTTTGTTGCTTTGGACTCATCTGACCTTATCCCGGGAATTTATTGCGAAGCCACTGATTTACTAAGAGTCCCATCACTGTCTCTTGATCCCGTCTCAGAAAAAGTGGAGATGAATACCTTTTTGTTACAGGAACTTGCTTCTAAAATTGATCTTTTTGAAGCTAAAATATCGCGTCTTCTTGAAACCGGAGGCGCTCCTGGTCAGGCCACCTATGCAGCTGTTGCTTCCTCCAACGTTACAGTGCCTCCTTCTGTAAGTACAAACACATCCATTCCTAAGAAATCTCGTGTGGCTATAGCTAGGTCACCACCTGCTACTGATAGTCGCGACTGCAACCTCATTCTCTTTGGTCTCCCTGAATGTAGGTCAATTGTTGACACAAAGGAATCTGTTGATGAGATGTTGGAATTTCTTGCTGGTAAAACAGTTTCTGTAAAAGATGTATTTAGGCTTGGAAAGTTTGATAGTTCCAGGGGTGCTCAAGGCTCTCAGCGGCCACGACCTGTACTGATAAAACTCACTACTCCATGGGATCGTAAAGTAATTTTGCTCCGCAAGAGTAATTTGAAGGGTTTTAAAGTACCCCGACTTTTCCTCCGAGAGGACCTACCTCCTGATCACAAACTTCGTATGAGGGTCCCTTTGAAAGTGTCTGTTCAATCTCCCGTCCTAGACTCTTCATCTGCTCTTTCTCAAAGCAGTAACTCACAATCAAATGTGTTCAATCCTACCTCCAATATGGATTCCAACTCTAGGGAGCGTCCTTCCACTCGTCCCACTCTCGTTCCTCTAGGTGCCACCACTCTTGACCGTTCTCGCTCTCTGTCACCTGCCCAGTCCAACTCCTCTACCTCATCTTCTTCTACCATTGTCCAGGGTGATAATGATACATCATAATGGCTCCACTTCGTTTGATGTCATATAATTGTCGTGGTTGGAATAGTGGTGTGATTACACTAAATTCTTTAATCGATTCTTATGATGTCTGCTTTGTACAAGAACAAGTAATCATCTTCACAAAATCAATGAAATATCATCAGAGTTTTTGTCTGTTGGTGTAAGTGGCATGGATGACTCCGTTTTGTTGTCTGGTAGGCCATATGGTGGCTGTTCGATTCTTTACAGAAAATCATTGT